TATAATTTACCAAGCCCACAGTCCCACTTTGAAAAAAAAAGGGAGGGAGGGAGGGAGGGAGGGAGGAATAAACTATACCCTATAAATAGTTAGTGAATCAGCAGCCCTCTGAAGAGCAATTATTGTTTTTTTCAACTACGATTGCTAACTTTTTTTCCTGGCAGATTCTTGTGGCCTCACCACCTACCTGGCATACAGAAATGAAACAGATGGAGCTTCATCCATAAATTTACCCCCTTGCCTAAAACTGATAATTGGTGCCTTTCAGCTGTTAAAAGCAAAGGAATCTACCAAAAAGGATTGGAAGTCCTTCTATCAGATTACAGGATGTCATATATCTAAGAATTGTTTCATCTCCCACACTGCAATATATAAATATCTCATTATTTTTCAGAGAGACGCTGCAGTAATCTCTGTATCTCAAAGGAGCCCAGGCAATTCTCCATAGAGTTTCCTTCTTACAGAGATTTGGCTCTATTGTGCTGTAAATATTTCCAGCAGTGCACCTTCAAATTTGTAACAAAGGAAAAGGAGGAAATCTAAAAAAAATTTTAGCAGCAAAAAGGAAAAATAGGCCCTACACAATCATCCTATGACTTAGTGCTACTAAGAGAACAGCAGGGAACTGGAAGAAGAATTTTAAAGAACATAAAGGCTCCAAAGCAGTTATGGGAGACTCATATAATTAGAAGTGAAAGTTTGCTGGAATAAAATAGAGTCCTATAATAGAACTAGATTTAAAAAAAAAACAGCTTGGGGTAACCCAAAACATTGATCAAATACAATCCATATATAAAACAAGGTGAAAAAAGGCCCAGAGGGAGTGTGGTGAATTAGATGGCAAGCATTCATTCCACTTTCACTGTCAAGCAGACACACTTCTGAATTTCAAATTCATTTTCATTCATCTCAGATATGGATCTACATCTGCACAAGGGACAGATTGCTGTCCTAGGTCACATGCAAAGTCAGGAACCAAATTCTTTCCTTTCAGTGAAAGAAGAAGTTTTGCCTTTGAAAAGACTGCTGGAGAATCCAAGGAGAAAAGGAGCTATGTGCTGAGGTTGGGAAGAGGAGAGGAATCTCTTTGGCCACTGTTAAAAATAAAAAAGTCAGTAAAAAAACTGGGAGAAAAACTTTGGGGAAAACATCCATGAAAGCAAACAAGGGAATTCTACTTGCAGGCATCAGGTCTTCCTACAGCACAGGTAACAAGCTGAGCTAGAAATAATGCATAAGATTGCTTTTTAACAGTGTATATTGCTATTGACTCTGTACAAGCGCAGCCCTTGTGTGCTTTATGCAGACTGGCACCTCTTCATGTCAGAGTTGCTTTTATATTAGTGGCAGATCTATCATCCTATCATCTATCATCAAGCTGCACCCCAAAGCAAACAGTAGAGCTAGAGTAGGCAGAGGGCTTCTGGGAGATGAGACCATCAGCCTTTCACAATATGGGTTTCATTCTGCCATTACAGGGAGTCCTGCAGTAATTCTGGCAAATGCAGATGAAAGGGCGAGATCTAAGTCTAAGGGTTTTCACATCACCTGGCTTAGGTTGGCTTGTTGATTTCTGAAATGTCTTTATATTGTAAAAATGTGAAGATGGAACAATATGTTCCTATATGGGCCAGATTTAACAATATATTAAAGGTTTGAGCTTGCTCTATCTTAATATTATATCTTTTTTAAAAAATTCCTTAGATCTAGTTCATTTTAATCATGATTTTATATGTGTGTATGTGTGCCAGCATGTGTATTATTGTATTATCACTGTTGTATTATTATTTTTATTGTATTTATTTTGGTTGTTATATTTTTGTTTATATATATTTATGTCGTCGTATTTCACCAAATGAAGAAAAAATTGTGTTCCTCAGGATATGCCGTTCAACTAACAGTACAACATTATGCAGATTTACTTAGTAATATGTCTCTTTGATTTCCATGAAATTGATCCCCAAGAAAGTTTGCTTAAGGCTGAAGCCTAATTTACCAAACATAGTTACTCAGACAGTAAACCTCCAAGTCTCATATAGTCCAAACATGAAGTAATATGTAGACTTTACTTCAGCATACAGTTAGATGCTTAACCTCATTTAAGTCACAGCCTGTCAGTTCCAAGTGCCATTTAAAACATACTTTCGTCTCTCAAACTTGGGCTTGTGATTCTTATCCCTGAACATTTCATGTGAAGAAGAAACCTACATAACCAAAGCTGCAGGCCCAGCACTGATACCATCAAAGCACACTTGAGGATGGCATTTTTTTCAGCTGTCCCGTGCTTAACTATCTCCTTCCAGTTTCCTGCAGCCAACCATGAATATCTCCTTGCTTGATCTGAGTGGGTTTCTGCGAGCTGTTTCAGCAAGGCTCCCTTTAAAATATATATGAGCCTATTCATGCAGAAGAGTTAGAGGGAACAGAGATTAGTTAATCTTTGGATCAGAGGACCCAAGGTTTTCAAAGAATATTCAAGGCACTGCGATATATTTAATAGCCAGAAAGAAGCAGGATATAGTATTCAGTTCCTCCCATGCTTATTCTTACAAAATTATTCTCTTTCTTCCTAGGCTAATTTTAGATTCTTATCATCTTCAACTATCTTGGTAGGAACAAACTTTGGGAGCAGATTAGAAGCTGGGAAACCACCACCCAGTTAATTCATATAAACGATAGAGAAAGGTGTGTGTGGGGGGGAGATTTTAACCCAACCATCTTCCCTTTTTCCTTATTGTCACAGAAATTTTTAAAAGCATTTATATGAAGGGGGAGGGAGGGGGAAGGAAAATATCCTCCCAATGCACAGCCAGTGAACACATTCCTTCAACCACCCGGAGCTAAAGCAAGTTACACCTTTTTAAAGGGCCATTGCATAAATCAAATTCTTATACTGTACTCTACTAGTGAATCTAGGCAAGCTTTTACTAAATGGTTCCTCACTATACATCCATGTAGGTTGATCATTTTTCCTTCCCCGCCCCTTCAACCTGTCCTGCCAAAAACTAACAGCTGCTTCAGCAACTGCAACAGAAGATTTCTTGTGGGAGGGAGCGTTTCTGAGGATCCGTGGGCATCTTTATTTCACCCACCTACCCCAAGTTCTCCTTTAGCCAAAAGATATGGAACGGGGACTGGTGGCCTGTAGTTATTCCTAAACAACATCTCTTAACAGTACCCCCAATATGACCAGTGGTGAAGGATACTGGGAGATGTAGCTAAGCAAATATCTGGAGGGTCCAGGAAAGCTAGAGCTTTCATTGATTTTTTTTTTTTTAAAAGCAATGGCATCTAGCCTTCCCCAGTCAGCTGAGTTCAACAAAATTCAAAGCTTCCATTTCCTCCATCACTATGAACTGGAAGGACTTGGTTTTTCTCATCCATGTATATAACAAAACTGTTCATCTGATATAAATAAGGTTGAAGATTATCCTTCTGCAACTTGGTGCCCTCTAGATATATTAAAGAACTCCTGTTATCCCCAGCCAGCGTGAGTGACAAAATATTATCAGCCTCAGTAAGTCAGAAGATCCTCGGGGGGGGGGGAGTTTCCTGCCATTATAACTCCTACTTCAACCTCAATCCCTTGAAAGCTTCTTAAATATTTTTTTTCCCTTTCTGTTCTGCTAGCTCTCCCCAAACAGTCAAGTACAGCCAAGATTTGTCAGACCTTGTATTTTTTTTTTCTCCCAACAGAAAATCTTTTGGTGGAAAAGATTAAGCTAGAAGATTGCTCTTACTGATGCTTCCCTAGCAAAAAGGTGCCAAGGCATTCTGAGTATTAAAGTAAAGGAGGGCATAGATGCTGCCTGCTGCACCCTCCACCCTCTTGTTGTCTCTACTCACCTTCATTGCTCATGCTAGAGATGGGGTGAAAGGTATTTAATAAAAAGAAATTGATACTAGCGTGGCAGCCAAATGGAGCTATGCCAATAATTGCAGGGGAAAAAAAGATCCAGAATTGTATTAAAGTGTCTGTGTGTATGTATGTATGTGCAGATACAGGTAGTCCTCACTTAATAATTCTCCTGTTTAGCGACCATTCAAAGTTAGGGCAGTGCTGAAAAAGTAACTTTATAACTGGTCCTCACACTTACAACAGTCACACGCTCAAGATTCAGGCACTTCACAACTGGTGCGCGTTTTTGACCGTCACAATGTCCCACAGTCACATAATTGCCATTTGCATGCTTCACAGCCGGCTTCTGACAAGCAGAGTCAATGGAGAAGCCAGCAGTAAAATCGCAAGTTGCAGTCATGTGATGTCTCGCTTAATGATGCAGTGGTCTGTCCCAACTGTGGTCAATAAGTGAGGACTACTTGTACACCCACAGAGTGAATATACATACCACAGAATTCAATAATTAAGTTCTTCCATTCCTAACTATATCCATTTGTGGCCCAAAATGAGTGAGCTATCCCAAATACTGATTCTGGCATCTGTGATCTTGGCACTAAGTCTCTCTGAATTCCACGGAAGTTGCTTGCTTCAGAGATTTAAACAATGGCTAGCTTAGCACTCCATCCATCCTTTTTATAAAAAGACGCTTCAGAGGAAAATACTACTGACAAACGCAAATAAGGCCCTCCAGTGTGCGTGTGGGGAGGATGCCATTATCCATCCTCCTAGGAAAATAAAGGACGGGGAAAGGCCACCCAAACTTCCCACCGTAACGCCGCCGGTGCGCCTCCACTACTACGCCACCGTGGACCAGATTAGCACGCCTCCCCTACTTTGCCGCTGCCTCTACCTAGGCAGTGTTTACGGACGCCCTTTAATGCAAGCTAGATGTTAGACTGCTCGACGGATGACAGCTCGGCGAGCTCGCCTGCTGCGCGGCCGCCTTAGCCAGCCGTGCGGGCTTCGAAAGCGAACGCCGATGGCCCTGCGCGCTCCATCTCAGTCCTTGAGACGCGGCGCCGGAGACGAGGGCGGCCTACCCAGAGCAGCGCCCAGAGGATGCCGCCTGCAAGGGGATACGGAGAGCCCGGCGCCTCACCCTTCTCCCGCTGCCGCTGCTGTCCTCGGAAGGAGAAACGGTTACCGCCTCGGCCGCCTCTGCCAAGCGGGCGCCTCCTGCGCTCCGCCGCCGCTCCCGCCGCCG